CGGGAATGCGTTCTTTTGATGGGTATGAATAGAGTCTTCTGACATTTCCATGTTCGTGTTAGTGTCTTTAGTTGTTTCATTTTGACCATTGCCCATTTTACTTTGAGTTTCCCGGGGCTGCGAGTAGAATGACTTCAGTTCAGGCTCATCAAATCTCCTTTCTGGCTTGTCTTCAAATAAAGATACAGACCTAGAATTATCTGACTCCTTTAAATGATGGGAAACTTCAGAGTCGACTACTGGATTTGGGGAAAGCTGTCTACTTTGTGGGTTAGATAGATTATCTTTACCATTCTTATCTTCTTCATTCTTTTTAAACGCATAATTAGCTGAAGCCGGTCTTGATGTATTATCAAACTTGGTTGGCTGTTTCTGCGACCTTTCTCCATACGAGTCGTATCTATCATACTGAGGTTCTCGCCTATTGTAAGAGTTAGAATTCCTAGGATTGTAGTTACTGCTACTGCCTGAATTCCCTGGATGGTAATACGATGAACTCGATCCTCGATAGCTATTTCTGCCTCCTCTATATTTATCATACCTACCATATTTTGAAGAATTGGAATTATTCATATTCAGTCTGTAGCCTCCATAGTTTCCTCTATTTGAATCGGTGTTTCTACTATTATATCCATTGCCAGATGAACTACTACCCCCATTTCCATATTCATTGCTTTCAGAACTGTTATTATTACTATGTCCTCCAAACGTATTAGGTTTTTTTGATGAGCTCGAATATCGATTGTAATAATTTCGATTATTATTATTGTTATTATTGTAAGACATTTTGACAAGCTGATATTTCAACTTAATTCAATACTTCGCCGCGTATATATCAAGCGCTTCAGTATAGTCTATGTGTTGTATAATAATTGTACTCAAGGTTAATGCTGGTAAACCACTAATATAAGAAATGTTACGATTAAAAAAAAATTGTTACGACTAAAAGACACAAAGCCACGCTTACAGAGTAATGTTTATATATTTAATACTATCCTATTTATTCTTTAGAGCATCACTAAATTCCATTAACTCAAAGATCAAGCTCATATTCGGACAGATTCTATCACATGCATCAATATTATAACCCTTATTTTTGATCAAAGTATTTGTAGATTCGTTAATATTATCAGTTCCTGATTTTAATAGTTCATAAGCTTCATTAACACCAATTTTAAATTTGTACATGAAATAAGCAACAATTACGCACGCCGACCTAGAAACACCACATTGACAGTGAACTAGAATTTTACGTTTTTCGTGGGATTTATTGCTGTCGTCAAACTGGCTTATTTTCTTTGTTATTTGCGGTAGTTCCTTCAGAATTAAAGATGTATGCGACCAGGGAATATATAAGTACTCCTTCTCTCCGTTGTTGGTGTTAAACTCTGAGGATAAGTCTTTGCATTCCTTGGCCACGTTTATAACCAAGTCGAATTTATTTATGTCTATTTTCGTAGGACCTTGGTTTGGATCGGAATAAAGGTATATGGAATGATTGAGCACATCTGCAGGGCCGTTTCTGTATGCATCTAGTTGGCTCTGCTCCTGTAATTCTTCAGGTATCCTGGAAAAGATAGGTTTCTCATTATTTATGCTGATTTTTGAAAAATCGTGAACAAACGTCTTATCGTTCATAAACGGACTTTGTAAGCTCGAGTCCAGAAATGGATTCGAATTGCCTACATGTGGAGGTTCAAACCGAAAGGAGTTATGCTCGTGCTCGCGATCAAGAAGATCGGATTCTGTGTTGCTCTTGAATGTGGACATCAACGGGGGCATCGACGGCGTCTTGGTGACGTTCGGCGTCACTAATGGCAAGTCTTCCGCCATAGAATTTGTCGGTATAGATAATGTCAACGTTTTCCGTCTGGTTATAGGCGGTTTATTAAATATATCGCCCGTCTCAGGCTTTTCCGTCTCATGTTTTCGTGTAGTAGCCTTCTCTGTTGTGGGGTCCGACGTGAGTTGTTCTGTAAAAGTGTTATTATTGGAATGAGCAAGGTTCAACGACAAGTTCTTCATATTTATGTTTCTATTCATCGTCAACGAACTGGGTTTGCGTGAATGCTTGGGACTGTAGTTTATAACCCCATATTTAGGGCTCTCTTCAAAACTCGAGTTAATAGTCTTGGGCGATGACAATACTGAATTACCAGAACTCGTATGCTTATGCGTCGGCAGAAACTGACTTGTATGACTATAATCTTCAGTGGCTGTCATGGACGACGCCATATTGCATGTTACGAACGGATTATTCGACATGATAATCCGTGGACCTTGCTAGAAACGCTTGATTTGGATTTTCGTGAAAATGCTATGTTTCGGAATACTTGGAGAAAATGACTTTGAACTGTTCAAGTTTCAAAATATTATTGAATAAACAAACTCCACACTTGACTGCTTTGATAACTACTACTAGCCTATACCTTTCCGTCTATCTTTGACTCCTTAATGTCCTTTTTAATGACGAACAAAATTATAATATTGCCATATTACTTCGCGAACGGTGTTTTAGAGAAGAATATTACACAAATCATGCCCACCGGACAATTAGAATAGGTAAAATTTTATATCTGATTATAATTATAGTATATATTATATAACTTATAGATGCAATAATGTATAAGAGTACTTTGGAATTTGATTATTGTATGAAATGTAGTCAATAGTCAAAGAAAGGCATATGGAGAGATTGAACGAAGGTCGGGCACGAAGTCCGAAATGGAAATTCAATAGTAAAATACATTGTGGGACGAAAAAAACGACAATTAACGGTATGGAGCATCAGCATCAATACAGTATTGTAATTCTTGTTCCCACTTGTCACCATTTTCTAATAACTTTTCTTTATTGTACAACAATTCTTCTCTGGTTTCGGTGGAATATTCAACATTTGGAGACTCAACAATAGCATCAACAGGACAAGAGTCTTGACAGTATCCACAGTAGATACACTTGGTCATGTCAATATCGTACTTGACGGTTCTTCTGGATCCATCCATACGTTCTTCGGCTTCGATGGTAATGGCCTGGGCTGGACAAATGGCTTCACACAACTTGCAGGCAATACATCTTTCTTCACCACTAGGATATCTTCTCAAAGCATGCTCTCCTCTAAATCTTGGTGAAATTGGACCTTTTTCGTATGGGTAGTAAATGGTATATGGTGCTCTGAAGTACATTTCTAAACAAACGTACATCCCTCTGGCAATTTCGTTTAAGAAAAAGAATTTGGTGGCCTTGGATAATGCACTTTCACCACTTTCTTCCCAAGTTTTTGGTTTTGGGAGTCTGAATCCCTTTGGCCACACTGATTGTGTAGAACCACCTGTGGTTAAATAATCAGCAGCTACGGCAGGNTTGTTAAATACAGAAGTACCCGAAAGGTAACGAAACTGTTGTGGCTTAACACCAGCCCTCTTCGATACTTGTATCATTTGTTTAAACATCTTTGGCTCTATAACTGTAGTGAATAAAGTATATATTAATAATTTATTCATTCATCTTTATGATCGCTTTGCGTAATTATTTTAGGTAACGAGAAAATCAAAGATTTTAATTGGCTAGTTTGTATTATATAATCAGCCCTACAGTATAAACTTGATTTGAATGTCTACAACGGGATACATGGGTAGTAGAAGAGACGACTCCCGTAAATGCCTGACAAGGAAGTTGTGCTGATATGCTGAGGTTGTGGTTTGGGGGTCTGGCGGACGTATTTACAGAAAGTTATTCTAGTCTGTATATTTATGGACAATTACATAATCATCAATCTATGGTGAAGCAGCAAGGTTTACATGTTGGTATAGTATATATAGTAGGCAATAGGGCATCATATGGGCAATACAGAATGTTAAAATCATGGCAGATGCAATACCGAGTAATAACGGTGGAAATGGCGTGAATTGCGTAGATTCTAGATGCAAATTGGGACTCGAGGACTCAGTCTGGATTAGTGATGGACTAGCCCATGAGTCTCAAGGCCAATTCAACACTAGCAAACGTACCTGCGGAGCATGGAACAGCTCTTATCAAACAAGGGGCCAATCCTTTCCAGAAACCTAACCACCCGTTGGTTTTGAAGATGTGCTTTGCGGCCAATGACATACTACCGTTGAACCTGGATTCAGATCCAAATTTGTCACTCTGGATGTTGGACTTGATGACATCAATTGGATACGATGAGAGCCAAAGGGCGTTACCAGCCAAGGCACCGGCAGTCAACAATTCGACTGTAGAAATATCATTTCTAGACTTGTAACCTCTCGACGATTGGATATAGCTGATCAACGATTCGTACGCCAAGAACCACACACCGTATGCCTGTGTCTCCCTCAATAAAGTGACACTGAAGCCTCTGTATATCCCATTCGTAAACCCTCTTTCTGCATAAATCTTCTTGACGGTAGATAATAACGAATTTGAAGCACTCTTGGTGTTTGATTGCGATAAAATTCTCAACTGTTCAACGGGAGCGGTGACCGGAGTGTTCACTATACCAGCTACAGCCCCAGCAATGTATGTTTGGGGCCACAAGTTCAATTCGTTTTTATTGCTCAGCTTTAAAAGTTGCCGTTTGCATTCATGAAAGCCGTAAAACTGCAACGACACACATGCACCAACACCGAATAACGGAGGCAATGTACCCTTATAGAACGCTAGTAATCCTTCGTTCCTGATCACATTTTTGATCACTTGGGCTGACGTAGTAGGCGTGGTTGACGTTTGCAATCTAATTTTCACAAGATCAGCTGGTTGGCCAATCAACACCTGTGTTGCACCACCAATGAACCCAGCGGCAATATCCTTTAACTTTCTACTCAACGAAGTATCTATATCAGACATCACGGGCTATAAGGTATAATGTTTGTCTACTTATCTTCTTTTTGCAATTTTTCACTTCAATCGTTGATAGCGAGAATGAACTCTTACACAAAATTCTATTGCACAATATAACGTGCATATATTCAATTCTATAGTATTATATACAAAATGTCTTATTTATCGTTCAATAGTCCTCCGATTGACATACCAGGAGATTTATCTCTTGGAGTAGACACCGTTGGCTTTTTCAACGTATTTTTTGTAGATGCAGTCTCAGTATTTTGTAAGGGATTTGAAGATTCTGATTTATAGGAAGCAGTAAAATCGATTGCAACAGGAGTGGTACTCCTACACTTGGAACAGCATTTTTCAGCTTCTTTCTTAACTGTAGGAAGAGGGATAATTTCTCTGGGTTTAGGTTTTGGTGTCTCCCTTGCTTCTGGATTTATAATGTCCGAGGTTCGCTTTACCTCAGGTGACTTCTTAACCTCTGGGGCCTTCTTGACCTCAGGGGTCCTAAGCACGTCCGGTGACGGGCTGATTCCAGGAGTCCTCTTATTTTGAATATTGATCAGGGGTAACTTTATAGACAGATTGTAGTTTTTCATTGGTAGGTTTGATGACGGTGGCAATTGGTGATGGTGGGATGGTAGTTGGTTCTGGAGTTGTTGAGGTGGTTGAGGTTGTGGAGGTAATTGAGGTTGCATTTGCATGGGTTGGGGCAGGGGTTGTTGTTGCGGTGGAGGCGGATATGGGTACATGTATCCATATGGAGGAGCAACCATTGGAGGACCAGACATATATTGTGGAGGAGGGTAGTTTGGAAATCCTGGAGGTACTGGCCCTGGAACTGGTCCTGGACCATTTGGAATTCTTCCCCCGTTGTAAGGGGGATAAAACGACACATGGCTAGGTTGAATCGCCAACATGGGTGGTTGCATGCCCTGGTGTTGATGCGGCTGTTGTGGTGGTTGGCGATGGTGTTGATGTTGTTGTTGATGCTGTTGAGGTTGTTGTCCAGGCTGTATTCAAGGCTGCTGTTGAGGCTGTATTCCAGGCTGCTGTTGAGGCTCGTTTAATGCACGCGACGTCAACCTGTCCTCCGAATCGTCTCTCTTGACATGGGTCATGTTTCTCTTCCGCCTCTTGATAGTATTTCTCTTCATCTTAATCGGTCTGTGTGATCCATGTAGCCTGTAGTACAACCCACAAGCATTACAAATGGTGTTACCTGCGTCATCCCGTCTCCATAACGGTGTGATGGTGGAACCACAATTGAAACAGGCGATGGCCATGGGTTCGTTTTCTGGCGTACGGGTGCCCGCTGGCGAAGACATCTTTTCTGGCGTCCTGTTCCCGTCCGTCTCGCCGTCATTATCACTCGACTCGTTAGCCGTGTCTCGCTTCATAACCACTCTGTTATTATACGCTGGACACCCTTTGCATGCCATTGAGCCCCCCGTACCATTACACCTTCCATCACCTTTGCATGATCCTTCCTCCGTTTTCATAACCCGAATCGTATTGGGCGGCCTCTTCAAGTTCACAGGCCTATGACTGTTGTTGGACCGAAGATACAATCCACACGCATTGCATATCAACGTCCCATCAGGTGCCCTCCGCCAAAGCGGTGTCTTCGTGGTTCCACAATTCGAACACTGCTGCCCGTCGTCTCCCACCGCCACAACCTGCGCTTTTTCTTCTCTGTCCACGTCTCTGTCGTCCTCACCTCTAATTTTTGACTTTTCGTCCCTATCTCGTCCTATTTCTTCCTTCTCCCCAGTACCTTCGCTCTCGCGCCGTCTTTTAACGCTGTCGCTCATCGTGTCTTTGTATGCTTCGGTCGCTTCTTTCGTCTCCGTTGTAGAATGGCTCATTAGTTATTCTTTCATAAGCTTCTGCCGTTTCAACTGAGCAAATATACCAAAAATACAAACTATTCCAAAATTATACCAAAAATATTAATAACTAAGTACACCAAATATGCCAAATACAATATAGTAAAATTTTCAACCTATATTAAATTGCGCTATTGTTGATCGATTTGATATTATTTCCGTTTATTCCTCTCGGTGCTTATCCTGTGGTTTACGTGCAAATTTGCAGGTTTATCAGGCCGATTAACGAGACAATCCAAGATCACTAGCGAATGAGAATGCTTTTATTTGTCATCGCTGGCGGGCAAGAAAAAAAGTCTGTTGCAGGTTAGCCGTAATTTCAAATAACTTTGTAGGTTAGATCGGAGTTACCGGATGACGCCATTTCTTGATTAGATCGATAATATAAGATTGGATTGATTAGATGGGTCCGAATGACGCCCACTGCGGCCGTAGGGGCTATGGCGCTGGTGTGCAGATGTTGGTGACTGGATGGGAATAAAATGAATGCGTGACTCGGGGCCAGGGTTCGACTCGGGTGGACACTAGGATTGCTGGTGTGGAGATGTAGATCTGATGCACGGATGTTTATTTTAATTGGTCGTGTCCCGTTTCAGACCCACCGCGTTTGTTTAGATTTCCTCCTTGTTTGTTTACGTCTCTTAGATGGGCGTTTATTGTTGGAATGAAGGACCTAGTTATTCTGAAGCAAACTAATCATACACATCGCTACAACACCAACACCAACACATTTGACCTAAGTAGTCGCTTGATAGGTATTTGCATTATCCGTTAGCTGTACACGGACCCACACACCCCCAGATTGCTAGTATGAATTATCAGCGCCCGCCCATATCAGCGGGTGCTAATACCACACCTTCCAATAGGTCGTCGCAGTCCACCACACAGACGTCAGAACAGGATGACAGCAGTGGCGACGGAAAGGACTTCTTGACGCCCAAGAGCACGGCGAAGAACACGGCAAAGACGCCCAAAAGCACGGCCAGGACACCCAAGAATACGGTCAAGACCCACCAGGCCAAACGTTCCTTCAACTACCACCAGCCGTCGTCTAACCAGTTGGATTACTTTGCAAACAACCATTTTTCGCGGTCGTTCAACTCGTTGATCTTGGATGATATCAAGGACGAGTTGACGGCTAGCGGCAAGAAAAGGATAAACAAGTCGCCGCCATTCAATGTAAAACACGACTATTACGGCGATAATGACTCGATAGACTATTGCGCAGAAGACGAAGACGAACCGGTGGCTTTTGATAGCGATATCACAAAGGCCGACACCGATGTCAATGACACGAGAGCTGACGATGACGACGACTTCGACCACACCCAGGCGTACCAGTCGCCCACCTTGAAGGAAATAAAGCCCAAAAAGCTTTTCAGGCGCGATGGAACCAACAACACCTCAACAGACCCGGATTTGTCTTCCAACTCGCAGCAGTCGTCTATAAAACGGTCCTTCAAGTTTCTTAACTTGTCGATAGACTCCTCCAATAAGGCCCTTGACTTGTATGGCACCGGCACCAGTAAGATTTTGGAAGATGATGTCGATTACATTAGTGATTTAAACGAAATTGGTGCTCCATTCGACAACAGTCCTGCCACGTCCAGGAATGCCGCCACGTCTGCCAGCCCTGTCAATGAGTATAGTCCTCGAGAAAATAAAACACCGCTAAACAAGTTCAAACGTCCACATCAGTTGGTGAGTCAGTCTCCATCCCCGAGCTCACAGAAATATTTAACATCCAAGCATTCATTCTACACTCAACATCAGCATCAGAGTCAAAACGAATCCTTATCTAATTCCATATCTAATTCTATTCAAAATTCGCTACCTAACTCCGGCGGCAATTCATTTTTGAACTTGAATTCGTATTTCAATTCCAATTCATTAAGCGTTAATATCGATCAGGCACCATCTACGTCATCAGCTCCTCCATCTACCGTGAATAAAACCGGCGTATATTCACCGTCTAAATTGGGAGGTAAGGGATTTAAAATGTTCAAAAATGCCGATAAAGATGCTATAATATCACCCAATCGTTCCATTAGTCGTTCACAATTTGATAATCCAGACATACCGAACCATGAATTGCACTCTGATAATGACATCAATCGCCCGAGTACATCTTTAGGCATATTTGAGTCTAACAAGATTTTACCTCCGTCTGCTTCTTATAAACAAGCAATACGGTCTAAAAAACTACTTCCAGCTGGTAACAAGTTACGAAAAACAAATAGCATTAAAAGTCCCTTTACCGCAATGGATCTGCATTCAAATTATTCATCTAATTTGGGTTTCGAATACTACAACTTGGATAACTTGGATATAATGGATTTAGATGACGATAGTCCTTCGAAAGCTAAGAAAATTCCAAAGTCAGCTTCGGCTAATAGTGCCCCAAATTCTATACAAATCTACCAAGATACGGAAGCCGAAATGCTGAGAAATAGGAAGAAATTGAGGAACTACGATTTAAATAATGATGCTATTTATAACGATGACAAAGAAAATGCTGGTAGTTTAAAACTTCTGAAAAAAGCATCATATCAATTTGTTAAACCATTACAGACAGCATTTAGATCAACAGGCCTAGTTAAAAAGAACTCTGTTAATCACAATCTAAATGATGCTAGTCAAAGGAAATTGCCGCCGGAAACTCCAATTAAGAAGCATCCAATGGCAACATTGGATACTGCCTGTACCAATATTCATAATACTTCACCGATCGGAAACGGTAACAATAAAGAGTTTAAAGCGTCTAATTTGAGTAACGTGGTTTCTTCTGCTCATGACGAAACGACCGCCTTCGATGATAATCTGGAATTATCAATCGAAGTAGGCAGAAATGTTTCGCATGTCGCAAATAATGATTCGAATTCAAGTTTTTTCAAGATATCCTCAGCACAGGGATCAAGCAAGAACGTTCTGTTGAATGCAGACAATGATTTGGATCTCGATTTAGACTTAGATGATATTATACCTGAAACACCAACCAAGTCGGTGAAAAAATCACATTCCATTCCGGCAAATTTCAGTCCAATATCATATAATAATTCGTCTTCTATTAATGCAACAAAATCAAAGTTGGTTGATTTAAAGAAATCCAAAGACTTAGGTAACGAACCTTCTACGCCAACATATCATTTGCACAATCCAATTATAAAAATTGAAAAGTCATCATCGTCAAACATGCTCGATTCGATTAATTCATCTCAACAGACTCTTTGTACCGAAAGTTCAGAACCAACAAAAATTGACGACCACCTCATGAACAAGTTTGGAATGAAGAATATTAAATACCTAGGAGCTGGAGAGTTTTCAATTGCCTACGAGTGTTCATTCCAGGATCAAAAATTTGCTATCAAGAAAACAAAAAAACCAGTTTATGGAAAATTGGAAAGGAAGGCGATAATGAGAGAAATTGAAGCTCTAAGAGTTTTAAGTTCAGTAAAAGACAATGAAATGGTTAACTTACAAGAGCAAGATGAAGGAAAGGAAAATTTAGTATATTTCATCGAAGCTTGGGATTTCAATAACTACTTCTACATTATGACCGAGTATTGCGAAGGAGGTACATTATTCGATTTCTTAGAAGAACATAAGAATTACAAACTTGATGAATTTAGAATTTGGAAAATTCTAATTGAGATACTAAACGGGCTAAAATTTATTCACCTGAAAAATTATTTACATCTTGATTTAAAACCAGCCAACATTTTCATAACCTTTGAAGGCTACTTGAAGATAGGAGATTTCGGATTAGCAACCAAATTGCCAATATTAGAAAAAGATTTTGATCTAGAGGGTGACAGAAACTATATTGCCCCTGAATTAATTAACGATAAAATTTATACTCCTTTCGCTGATATATTCAGTGTCGGGTTAATTATATTAGAAATTGCTGCAAATATAATATTACCAGATAATGGCTCACCATGGAGGAAGTTAAGAAGTGGTGATTTATCCGATGCAGGGAAATTATCTAGTGATAATATAAGTGATTTCTTGCAACACCAAAACTTTTCTTCTTTAACATCTTACAATTCGTCTGATTCGTTGTTGCATCACAGTCACTTACAACATAAACAATATCAACATTTACAGAATCATCATCAACATCATCAGTTATTCAAGAAAATTGACGTGAAGCATCTCATACCTTCCTGGGCTCCAGACTTCTTAGTATCGAAGGATACTAATAGTTTAGACAAGTTGGTGAGCAACATGCTTAAGCCAAATCCATTTGACAGGCCTAACACGAAGATGATTTTGGAGAGTGAAGAGTGTACGACCATAGAGAATAGAAGGAAGGCCGGCGCCACTATCTTCGAAGGCGAATTTGGGCCTGGTGATGAAGATTAACTTAGTTAGGGTATGATAGAATATGTATGTGTATGAATTATGGAACCCATTTCATTTAATAGAGATTTTTTTTATTTTATTATTCAATACTACGGACGCAAAACGTAACTTAATTTCGTGTAATTAAAACTAACACTCATATAGATAATTAAAACATTATTAAAGATTTTAATTCTGAGCTAAACAAAATAGATGTAAACTTTAAAAATTCCTTCACAAAAAAATATGTGAAAACGGAGATGCTAGAATATAAAAAATCATAAAAAAACAAAGGTGAGTTCTTGTCAACGGTACAAGCCCTTCGACGAACACTAATTTAGTAATCTAAATTACAGCATACTGCTTATTGGATTTGAGAATATCCAGTGAATGGATTAGCATTCTTAGATTTCAAGTATTCGTCAGACTTTTCTTGCCATTCTCTAGTTAAAGTTTCTGGTGGTGGGGCAGCAAACATTCTGGTGAAAGCGAATAAACCAACACCAGCTCCTAAACCCATAACGACACCCCAGAAAACCTTGGCCTTGTCACCTGGACCGTACAATGGCTTTCTTGGACCCCATTCACCGAAGGAGATGTAGTATGCAGCCTTCTTTTCGGCAGGGGTCAATTCTTGCCATGGTAATTCCATTCTGGTCTTTAATTCTTCTATCATGGTAGTTTGATCTTCCTTTGGTAAGGTTTCCCATCTTGAATCTAATTTAGAAACGTAAGCATTTGATAATGCTCTTGGGACACTTTTAGAAACGGTAGATTGGTTACGAATAGCTAACCTTTGAATAGATTGACGGAACATTATGACTTCTATTATGCTGTTAGTAAATTGTACGTTTTCGATCGAGAGTTTAGGTGTGAAAATTTAATGCTATGAGTTTGATGTGCTTTTGTGTTCGTTCTCTGGCCTAAACACCTCCAGTTACCTTAAAACGAGTTTTTGATTGGTTAGTGACAATTGAGTCACGGACGACCTGGCCTGATTTTTTGGCTTCCCTGTCAAAGTCTATACAACAGCACTTTGGAAGTCGATATTGACGCCACTGGACCATAAATGTAGTGATCCAGCACATAGTAATACACTGGCCCAAATTGAACAAAAAAAATGCGTAGAAATCGGGGTATATCTCCTATCATGGAGCTTTTCTTCATACAAACAAGCCAACATCAGGTCCTAATCTTCGGTCATTTTGCATTGTTTATATGTTCTCTTACGTATTTAAGCCAGCGTGGGCCATTAAAGTGGTTGAGGGTTTAGGCGATACAATTGGCGTTCACAATAGTGGATACTCTATCGAAGTGGAATAATTAATTGCTCACAGGAAAAGTGCAATTTCTCCAGAAACATCGCCCGGGAAGTGATCATCAATAACACAGCATTAAACGCATTTACCTTGATGAATATACATACCTATTTCAAATTCTTTTGCTTAGAAATATAATAAACAAATCCTGCTGGACGACTTTTGATGGTTTAGTTCTTGAATTTCACTGGTAAAAAAAAGTTATGTGAGGTCGTGCGAATCTCCTAATTATATATCTGGTCTACGGTAATTGCAACTATGGGCTAAACTCTATTACTGTTGGTATGTAATGAGCTGTATTGTGAATGTAAATTCTATTGTATTGTGGTATTAGTGTTACGTATACTATGTATGATAAACAGGTCCTGTAATCTAAGTTATTAGGTATGTTCACACGTGATACATGATATCTTGGATACTAGCTTGAGTCACTAGATGTAGGTTAATGTGACCAATGATCTCTTCAACTGGGAGTCATGGATCTCATTGACATCTATGGAGAATCTTTCTAACTTCTTATTCTTTAAATAGTTGAGAAATTCGGTGACGGAGCCACCAACACCGAAATAGAAGTTCTTGGAAGCGATCAAGCACAATGACTTCGGGACGTTGGATTGAGTCAAGATATCGATTAATGATTCAGCCACAATTGGTAACGACTCCGGAGAATAGATGGTTTCAGACGTGATAATAAGGTCGATTGGAGTGCCATTCAAAAGGGAATTGAATTGGCGACCCCATGAGCCTGAGACAAACAGCAAATCTACCTTGTATTCAGACAACTGGCGCAGAAATTCGTCTATCAAGGACTCCGTTATCAACACTTCGTCGTTGTTTAACATCGGAGCATCGGTTTCAGTGTTTTGATCATCCGCCGGCTGCGATACACATAATTCGTGCAATTTTGATGGTTCTAAAGTGGATGCCCAGTGAATAATCAAATTGGGGACTGTGACTAGTCTAAGCACGTCGTAGTTAAAGTCTGATAGTATATATTTTGCACCGGTCTTATCTTGGGTTTGGAACCGTTTCATTAACAAAAAACATGTAGGTAATGCCGTTCCACAGCCAAACTCCAAAAGGTTCTTATAATTCAACTTTCCGTTATTTATCATGGCCGATAATTCATCCACCATATCGTACGAGCATTCCCAACTCTTGAAACCACCTTCGTAAACATTTTTCTTCAAATCTACCACATTATTGTCGCCAATTAATACATCATTGGTAACACCGTTCTTGGCTGAATTATCGTCTTCACACATGATTTGATGCTTAACATCAAATAATTCACGACGATATATGATATTCTGCCCTATCGGGGTAGTATAGTTATCAAACGTGAGCCTGACACCGTTCAATGTATGCAAAATGGATTCTAAGGTGTGAACCTTAGGATATGACGATTCGTCGATCGTACCCGATAACTTATCCAACGGATTTTCTTTCAGCATAGAAACGGATACGTTACTCAAGTTGACCGATTCTTCTATATCATCGTCACTGAAATCGTCGTTAGTGAATCCAAACGAAAATGACATGGCTACTCTATAATGAACTTCATAATCATCTCATCGCCAATTTTTCTCGTCCATTTATGCGAAGTTTGATATAGAATACTAATTCTAGTTTTTATTCTCCTAGTACGACACTTTGCCCAAATAACGGCTAGCAACCGAGTCTCTATCCATTGGGAACCGTCTCCCATCAGTATACCTTCCGTCCCTTGGTTTCATCGTATTATAAGTGTCTAGCATAGGATTATTGGTTATGTGCAGGTTATATTTAACGGTATTGGGTGCAAATAACCACCCTTGGGAGCATACATTTAGCGTTTTGTTTCTATAACTACAATATATGCTGTGGATAGCACTGTATTTACATGGACGTCATAGAATGAAAAATTAATGCTGATTCATTTACACTAATACGTCTAGAGGTGATGACCACAGCCACAAATCACAACTCCTTCTAACCAAATTATAGATTTACACATCCAACACTCATCGATGTGGAATAAACTATATTGTGAACCTCTTTCTATATACATTTTACAGTTTTACGCATCTAAGTCTATATTATTTGACTTCCTTTGAATTGTCACAATTTGCCAAATATTATCAAAAATTACCAAAAAGACCAAAATTACGAATTTGTAACACGTCCCGGAATTTTAGTACATTCCTCCCTCATTTTTTCTTAATGAATTACCACACAGTTACTTATCATCCCCTCCTCCTCCCGGGTTCCTTTATTTGGCGATCAATTGCTATTCAACCACAGCCGTAGGGCTCCTTGCAACCATCTCTAGCAATACACCTATACATCAATCCCACCAATCCGACGTATATAGTTTTTGAGAAGATCCGCGCCTACACAGATACAATCGCAAATCAGTCGACTACATAGGTTAATGAATATGCACTATTAAAAGGACTAGCGATCTAAAATACGCTATTTTGTACTCTCACGTATCTACCCCTACTTAATTAATCTACAAGCGAATTATCATCCGCGTACCCCGAGACCGTTCACCTCGTTACCAATCCTCTAACCGTGCCATGACTAGTAGGCCCAGTAGCAATCACGCAGACCATGTCATCGGTTTAGTGGATCCCTAAAAAAAACGACACAAAATCTGCCAAATAGTCCGAAACTATCTGCAGTACAGTAACATCGATTTTTAGATTAGCCATAGCGGAACCCTAGTGACCATCATCGAAGTAAACATCGTGGCTAAGTTACATTAAACTGATATCAACATGTCATCAGGTTCAAATATGTCTGCTAATGGATCGAAGTCGTTGGCGATCCCTAAGGAGCAGGAAAGAGGAAGACGGAAATCTAATTCAATTTCCAACGCCATGCTACATCATCATCGGGAACGAGGAAATGAAAAGAAAGTTTCATTTTCAACGTTCGAAAACAGCTCCAGTCAGATTTTTACACTGGCTTCCAACTCGTCCAGTGACGACGATTACCATTACTACGGGTCGAGTGAACTGTACCCTAATGATTCCCACGAAGGGATATCCACGGCACCAAAAGGGAAAGGACATCAACAAGATAGGTATACGAAGGAGAGCAGTCATTCGCCACCACAACATCATAATTTTTCGCCGGTACGCAAGAATTCGTTGAAGAAGTTGTCGTCGTATCCGGGAGAACGAATGGGGGTATCGCAGTCGTTGGACTCTCAGTTACTAGAAGATCGCAACTCAGGAAGTTCACCTTTGCCGGAATTCAACAAAAGACCATTGACAGACACACCTATAGTGTCGGGAGTTGCGTCGCCAGTGACACGGGACCAGTCGAGTGATTACGATGAAACAGACGACGATGAGGTCAAACAAGACTCGCCAATGTTGAAGACCAAGAATATATCACACTTGAACTTGACAGACTTGGACGATATTTCCTCGAGAAAGGGCTTAAAAGCGCCAAATCCACACCAAAACAATAAGTCGGAATCCATATCTCCCATGACGGTGAATCAACCGAAGAAAGAGGGAGATGAAGCGCACGCTGACGGGAACAAACAGGACGATTTCCAGACACTCAAGATTAATAAAGAGGAAAAAGAGGATTTATTGCAAGACGTCCCGTTGGACATGAAGAAGCAGTTTGAAAAGACTCCTTCATTAGAACACTTGAAAAATCTTTTATTGACTAAACCTCCCCCACCAGCACGCAAAACTTATACTTTAAACATTCCTGGTCAGACATCATCAAAAACTTCACCCGATGGCCATATTGCTTCTGTTGACGTGGGATCTAAGTTGGTTATTGTGATGGTAGGGTTGCCTGCTAGAGGTAAATCATATATCACGAATAAGTTGACTAGATATTTAAATTGGCTTCAGCATGATTGTCGTGTGTTCAATGTTGGTAACACTAGAAGAAAAGATAAAGAAAATAATGCCGGTCCTGAAACTAATCCTTTACCAGATACAAACACCCCGAATAACGAGACCAATACTCCTCCGTCGCATTCGACTAAGACCACTCCTGCCACTCATACTGCCGATTTTTTCAGCCCGGATAATAAAAGTACGAATGCGCTCCGTGAAAAATGGGCTATGGATACTTTGGATCAATTATTGAATTACGTTATTGATGGCTCTGGTTCTGTAGGTATTTTCGATGCTACAAATTCTACCAAAAAGAGGAGAATGAAAATTTTAAAGAAGATTAAAGAGAGATCACAAGGTGAATTGAAAGTGTTATTTTTGGAAAGTATTTGTTCTGATCCAGCAATTATTGAATCAAACATTAGATTGAAATTGTCTGGTCCTGACTACCATTCAATGGACCCTGAGGTAGCATTAAAAGATTTCGTCGGTAGGTTGCACAATTATGAAAAAGCATACGAAACCATCGATGACGCGGAAGAATCTATTCCGGGTTTCCAATATGTTAAAATGATTGATGTTGGTAAGAAGGTTGTCAGTTATAACGTTCAAGGCTTTTTGGCATCCCAGACTATTTACTTCTTATTGAACTTCAATTTATGCGAAAGACAGATCTGGATCACAAGGCACGGAGAAAGTGTTGACAATCTTTCTGGTAGAATTGGTGGCGATTCTAACTTAACTAAGAGAGGAGAAAGTTTTGCCAGAACATTGCTGAGGTTCATGAATTTCCAGAGACAAGAATTCCGCAAACAGCAATTGGAAAGGTTTTCCACGAGGTTGGAATTGAGGTACAACTCGATCTTCGACAAAGAGAAAAACGAAGAAACTAGAGTCGATAGCATACCATCGGAACCAAACTTTTGTGTGTGGACTTCAATGTTATATCGTGCTGTGGAAACAGGTCAATTCTTTGACGAACAATTATTTTCTATTAAAGAGATGAGAATGTTGAACGAGTTAGGCGGTGGAAAATTCGAAGGTATGACTTATAATGAAATCCAGAATAGATACCCTAAGGAATTCCAATCAAGATTGCATAATAAATTGAGTTATAGATATCCTGGAGTTGGTGGTGAATCTTATTTGGATGTTTTAACCAGATTAAGACCGCTCATAACAGAAATTGAAAGAACAACGGATCATTTATTGATTATCTCTCATCGCGTGGTTTTGAGGATTTTGTTAGCATATTTTCTTAATCTAGACAAGTCATCAATTGGCGAACTAGATGTTCCACTCCATACGTTATATTGCTTGGAACTGAAGCCTTACGGAACTGACTACCGTATGTACGAATACGATGAAGGCTTAGATTGGTTTGTCAAAGTTGAACCAGAGCACCAAAAGAACCTAAAGGAAGTAGGGGTAGCCTTCAAAGAGAGAAAGTACTCCGTGGTTCCTACTGCCCCACCATCCAGTTCCTCCAAGAAGCCGAAGGATAGAACTTTTAGTAACAATTCTCGGAACTCCAACTCCGATTCGTTTGGCTTAAGAAGAAGCTCCAGTTTCGGTTCCCGGCCGGTTGGAAACGCCACCTATTCTTATCACAATAACGATCAGGCTGCAACAGCAGATCAAAACAGTACAACCAATGATCATGTGCGAAATAGGATAAGTTCTAAAAAATTAGAGGATTTGAATAAACTAAGAAAACCTTAGTACTTATCTGCTTACCCAAACCTCACATCTTCAATTCTTATGTATATTTACTCTATAGTTCTCAGATCATATGTAAAAGTCTTTAATTTGCATAATGTGTTAAAGCTATATACATCCTGCATAATATATTATATACCAGCATTCTTTTTTTCCTTGTATTACAATAGGAATCGTAAACATTTGATAACGGAAGCATAGTAGATATATCAGGCAATCAAACGTCAAAGAAGTATTGAAAGCAGTATATTAGGTCTAGGATTATATATATATATATAATATACTGCGAGTGAAGAATATACTTTCCTATAATATATTAATAAAATGACACCTGCCGTGCCGCAGAAGGACCAGTCTAAGAATATAAAGAATTTGACTATAGACACCAATGATAAGGAACCAGAACAAGGATATGTACTGGAAAATGTAGATGAAACAAAGGAGAAGACTGTGATAGGGAAGGAGAATTCAAGGAATAATGAGAATACATCAATTCAACCTACACCTACACCTAGTTCAGGCAGTGATAATGCTAACCCGCTGGGAGGATTTAAAGTCCCAAAGAAAAAAAATGGTACTGAAGGTAAGCAAGGAGGAAGTGGGAATGAAGCAAATGCAGCCTCACGAATAGTGTCTACTGATAATAGTAATTCAGTGGGTGGCACGCCAAAGCTCAATAAGAATATAATAACAAATTTGAATAAGTCATTAAAAGCCAAGCAGAAAATCATCAATTCAAAGGAACCACACCCAAAAAACTCGACCATAATATCAGAAATCATTAATAATTCGCCGAAAGCATCATCGTTCCCAAATAATGAAAGCGAGAGCGAAAATAATTCTCACGCTGTAGTGGGTAATGGAATTTCGAACCCGTCCAACAATCTAAATAATTCATCCAATATTAATGTCAACGAACAATCTAGCAAGCTGAACACCAATAAGGATAAGAATAAACGGACAGCGAAGCAAAATTCGACGAGAACAGATTTTTTTGCCGCTAAGTTGGCAAGTGCAGTAGACGATGTTGATACTTCAGATAGTGATGAAACGTTTGTTTACGAGAATAATACTAATGACTATGATAATAGCGTATCCCAAAACCCTAATAATCGGATGCCTCTTCCAAATGACACCGCATCCATCAACGGAAGTATTGTTAATGCTGGAGGTATTGCTACTACTTTAAATAGCCCTCCAATAATGGAAGAAAATTCGGATGGAGGTAATGTGCAAGCGGAATCTATACATTCAGCTCATTCTTCTAAAATACCCACTATTAGATCAACAAATAATTCAATAGCACCGGCTGACACTAATGCTCTGTCTGATATTTTCAAGTCAAGACCTCTGCAGCAGAGGACGGGATCGAGCTATTCTATCCCGCATTTACCCCCAGTGATACAAAATAATGAAGATAGATTACATCATTCAGATACGACCACAGGAAAACATAATACAATTGCATCTAACCATTCTCCTGCAAGTCCGTATGCATTACCAAGCAAATCTCCCTCAAATCAAGGTCTCGCTGGAGCTGAAAGACCTTATAATTACCATAGAAGCAATAGTCAACAAGCTAACGCTGCCGCAGCAAGTATCAACGATGGTTATAACGAAGATGGCTATTCATATGATGAAGTTGATGACACAGATATAATTGATGATGACTATGCAGATGATGAATATTATTCGTCCCATAGAGTTAACGATGCTTCGCAAAATAACACTTTGACGGGGTTCAGCCAAAATGTAAATGCCAACGAAAATGGCAAGGAAGATGCTGGAAATAACAACAAACCCAATGTAAATTCGTCACTCACGAGCAAAGGAACATCAAAAAAGAATTTCAAATCGTCTAGTTCGTCCTCTAAGTTAAGATCGACAACTTCCAAGCTCTTTGATAAAAAAGGATCACAGCCAAGACGTTACAGCATAATACCTGATGATATTGATATTGAAGATTTTGATGATGAATTAATTTATTACGACAACAACATTCGATTTCCATATAACAACTCCAATCAAACAAACCTTACGAACAATGTAAATTTTAATGATTCAGTACCATCAATTAATCATAATCATAGAATTCCACACTATAGATCTTTGAATTTAAACTTTCTGGGTAAAAGAAATAATAATCTTAAAAATAAGAGGTATTTATCAACCGGACAACCTATTGCACCAAGCAATAACAATGATGATACTCCTCCGAATACTTCTCATACTAAACATTTAAATAGTGACATCTTTCCATTTCCATACCCTGAGCCTCATCAAAAGTATTATTGTGATATAGATGAATATGATGAAGAGTCACCTTTGAACGGTGGATTTCAAGATGAAGAAGCACAATTTCGTTCGCCAAACTCAAGAAATGTTTCAGGTCGTTCAAAACATCCATACTTATCCGCAAGTAATGGCCACTTTTTATTACCTAGAAAAAAGTCTAATCAAACACTTAAAAGCCAAAGAGTAAACTATATTAAAAAGTTTATTTATACGCTAATAAGTATCAGCTGTATATTATCGGTAGGATTTATAATGGGGTTTGTACTTGCAACTACGAAAGAGTTAACCAACGTATCTATCAACAGTTTTGAAAATCCTATTGTTTCCCAGGATGAATTGCTCTTTAATGTAATTGTGGAAGCTTTCAATCCGGGATGGTTCACTGTATCTATTGATGAAGTTGAGTTAGATATATTTGCAAAAAGTGGCTATTTACCGGAGAGTATGGACAATATAGATATTGATTTGGAGGGATTAGAGAAAACAAATACGGTCGAGACTGTATTATTGGGAACGGTTACTAACCTTGAATCTCCTATGATTTTTGCAGGTGGTTTCTTTACGAGAGAACTTACAAGTCAAAGTGGTGAGATTAAATTGTTGAGACCTGGTAGAAATTTAACTAGTTTGGAGTTTGATAAAAATAGAAATGAATCTGAGCCTGATAATTCTGACAAATGGGAAATAATTGCGAAGAATCCATTCGACTTGATTGTCAGGGGAATTTTAAAGTATAATTTACCAATGAGTAAAGTAACTAAATCTGTCGTCGTCAGTAAAGTAGGCTATATTGATCCAAATCAAGATAGTCTCTAATATAGAGACTCTTAATCTTATAGTATTTAATTATTGAACTAAATTACTTTATTATTATGGATCTACTAAGAATATATATACTCTTAACTTCTTAATATCTTATTATACAAATCATCGCTTCTATTATGAATTCTTGGCTCTAATCTGACTTTAAACAATTTCGGCTCAAATGAAATGGCATTTGGATTCGAATTGTTCTTAAAAGGGTCCAATTCCATTAAAAACTTATTCGACGTTGGTCTTCGAATTTGAAAGGTTAAAATCATTCGACAAGTCAAGGTATATAGCTCCTTAAATGCCAAGTGATTTCCAGAGCACATGCGAGAACCAGCTCCAAAGGAAAAATGGCTAATTTCATATTTGGATAACACTGAACCCGTTACCAGATCTAGCCACCTTTCAGGTATGAATCGCATTGGGTCTTTATAAATATTGGGATCATGATTTGCTGCATAAGAATTCATAAATAATATTGAATTCTTGGGTATAATAGCATCCTTATATGTAATGTCCTTAGTTGTAATACGCGGTAATCCTAGAGGTAAGACGGTAAAATATCTAAGAGTTTCTTTAATTAGCGCAATGACATAAGAACAATCCATTACAATTGCAACATTATCCCATGCTGTACATATGTTATTCTTATTTCTAGACATTATTTCTTCAAACGCTTTACGTTGGTAAATGTATCCGCTAGTAGGTTGCGATAATTGGCCCATTAAATGATTAAAATTTAAAGAGGTATTATCCAATCCAGCACTAACCATCGTTAGGCAAATACTCTGAAGCTCAGCAGATGTCAATTTCAGCGTCGAATTCATATTCTTTATAGCGACACCAACAAGACTATTTGTTGAATCTACATCGCCCTCCGACATTTTATCTTGCAACTGTTGGAATAGCTTATTCATATAAGCGTCTCTCCGATTCCTGTAATGTTGAGCTTTCATGCCTTTTCCGAATGGTAAGTATCTTAGTATTGGAATATAGTCTTGTAAGTTAGAAACAGGAGCTCTAAACTTCATGATATTGCTTTCCACTTCAATAATTTCTTTAGCTAGATTTGCATCTGTATCATATACATCCAAATGCAAGCCATAGGTTAAAAATATTGCACTTCTTAAAGAATATAATTGAGAATACAACAACAAGTCAATATCTGATATAACAGTTCTGGTGTATCTATAATTATTGCAGGAAGGAGGGCCAAATAATTCCCTATTATTTTGTATGATATTCTTAATAGTAAATTTAGTTTCGTTATCAATTACACTCGATAGGTTATTAACACTTTTTTGATTTAGACTTTGAGATATGACTTTCTTCTTTCGCTTATACGAAGGACCAGAAGGTGTTGAACCAACTGTAAATCCTTGAGTTGCGGAAACAATTCCGTGGAAGATATATTGTACTGGTCTAGAATTATTGGAACAAGAATGCTTGGTCCATAAAATGTTAACATCTTCAAATGAATTAACGACAATTATTCTCTTAAACCCTAACCTAATTTGAAATATACTGGCATTATATTTGTTTGCCCATTGAATATATACTAAAGCTGGATTATTGAGAACTTGGAATAAGTTTCCAACTATAGGATAGCCTGGAATAGAATAAATCCCTTTAATTTTGAGTGGAGCACCAATACCTAAAACAGTGTCCATGAATATACATAATAAGAATATAGCACATATTATATTTAGAAGGTTAAGGATCTTAAAATCCCAAAAAGTAATTAGTAGTCTTATGAAATCAAAAATTGCGGAACCCATGGTTGCAAATACCATGGTAAACCAAACAACTTAAATATTTCCTCAATTGATTCAAATGAGAAGGTAATAATCACCAAGTTATAATGTTTAATAGAACATACTAGAGGAAAGAAAACCGTATGATAAAACAGAACAGCGTATTTGCAAAAAATATGAGTGATATTTTATTGAGCCGCATGGTTCCAAATTGACCACAAACTAGATTTGCTACTCCGTTTACATGCTACATTAATGACATCGGTACAAAAGACGTTAGTAATTGTATTAAGTGCAAGATTGAAATTAAGATTAATTTCAATCACAGAAAATTATAATTTTAGCGAAACGAACTGAATCCAAAAGGATCGAAGAAAATAATTGATATATTAATATTTTACCATTTAAGAGTGAATTGTTTGTTGAACGCACCTTCTTTAGTATTTTTATTCAAATCGGTAACAAATAATGTTGAGTTATCATAGGTGTATGTTACATCCTTACCCTCAAAAGTGACTGAATTGGGCTTCTCGTTTACTCCAAGAATAGTGATATTAGACAACGGTTCGGATATATTATAATCACCATATGGCGAGGATACTATAGTATTGTTTAAAGCCACAAAGTTAACGAACAAAGAAGATTCAACTTCCTGAGATTCACCATCGTCAAGATACAACTTTCCACTAGCACCGCCATTTTTATCTAAAGCAACAATTAACCCAAACGGATTTTTTCTACTTTGCGCAATCGTATATCCTGGTTCTTGGGTTGGTAAGATATTACCACCTCTAATATGTAATGGTATATGTCCTAATGGGGCTTCTAATGTTTCATTTTTACCAGCTTGGAAATCCACTTGTTCATGAGTGTACCAGTCGTAATAAATTTCTGTTATTCCACTACCAGGGAAAACACCTTTAACATTCTCAACACCTGGTTCTAAAACAGGGGTAACTAACAAGCCATCACCAACAAAGAATTGGGTATCAACAGCACTTAAGTTACGTTGATTTGGAAATTCCCAAGATAATGCACGCAAAACTGGTAAGCCACTTTCATGTGATTCATGAAGCAAACTATAGTAATATGGCAATAATAAGTAACGAATGTTCATGGTAATCTTTGTCGCGTCGGTGACACTTGACCAGACATAAGGCTCCTGAGATATAGCACCTAAAGTATTGTGATTTCTGTAGAAAGGAAAGAATGACCCTAATTGCATCCACCTAGAGCATAACTCAGAATCAGTATTACTATTAAAACCACAAACATCAACACCAAAAAATGGGATACCAGACATTCCCATACTAAACGCTTGTGGAATTGAGAAGTACATCCAGGCCCAATCAGCGGTGTTATCACCTCCCCAATGAGCAGCGTGTTTTCCTGAACCTGCAAAAGTGGCCCTCGAAAGAATGAATGGTCTCTTATTAGGAATAGCTTCTAATAACGCATTATAAGTAGCATTCACTTCCATATAACCGTATAAGTTATGTACATCATATTCAATTGTACCATCATAATGAGTTGCATTAGGAGAAACTGCATGCGTTGCTAAATCATGGTCACCCTGGGCATGGTTGATTGCATATGGTGGATAGTTAATATTACCTTTACCTGGAGCGAGAGTATTTTGAGAATCTGAAATGGAAGTAGAAGACGAAGCAGCTGAGGATGTCGAAGAAGCTGATTGTTGAATGGATGAATATTCAGACGCATTACTTTGCTCAAATCCTTTTGGATAAATGTCAGGAACATCACCATATTCAAAATTAGGTTTTGCAGGATTCTGAAGGTAACCCTCTGAACCACAAGAACCTACGCAGAAACTGGATGCCTCATTCATATCACACCAGAGGCCATCAAATTGAATCTTATCGTAAAAGTCTTTAATCGTCTTGGTCCAGAATTCTTGACTTTTTGGGGCGAAGAAATCTGGAAATGCAGTGAAACCTGGCCAAACAGAACCTATGTATAATGAGCCATCAGGATTTTTCAAGAATGAATCTGATTCGTTACCATTATGAAATATTTCATAAATGTCACTGGCATTATTTGGATTTGGAACGTAGATTCCGGCATCAAACATTGGAATATAATGTTGATCAGTTCCATGTATATTATCAATGAACTTTTTAAATTTATCCAATGGGTATCTATGAGGATCAGTAGTAAAATCTTTATATCCATCCATATAATCAATATCGGACCAGATTGTTTCTAAGGGAATATCAAATTTTTTGAAATTTGAAACAACTTCTTCTAAATCCTCAATAGTATCATAGCCCCATCTACACTGATGGTACCCAAGTGCCCAGTATGGTTGAAGTGCTGGTAATCCGATTTCGCGAACATATTGCTTTATAACGTCCTTTGGTTCTGGACCGCTAAAGAAATATAAATCAACAACTCCACTCAATGCTCTCCATGTTAACGACTCCTCTTCAACAACGACTTCTTGAATTGCTGAAGTTCTCCAATATACACTATGTGCTGTATTTGAATCATATCTTTGGTCCATATATACTGGATGAACTCCATATATATTACCGTCAATTGGGTCTCCAACATCATTGGCGAACAAAGTTTTAACAACACCCGGTTCATTTATTGACCCATGAATCGACTCACCAAGTCCAGTAATGACATGGCCCTTAGGCAAGGTTGTGTTGAATTGAATAAATTGATTAGAGTATACTAATGGATTACCAATTGTAGAGAATAAAACCTCACTAGTGGAAGACCTGATCACTTCGAAACCAAAGTCCTTCTCTTGGTATTTAAAAACCAAATCAGATGCATCAAAAGTGAAATTGTTAGACTCGATGCTGGGTTTTGCAATAAGATCCTCTGGCAACACAAAAACATCTGTCAAATTGGCCGGCTCAATATGAACATGTAAACGAGAATCTGCTTGATATTCAACCAACAAGTTCAAGCAATCAAAGTCATACCCATATATATTAGTAGCTTCATTCAACCTTAGAATACCGGCGAGGCCATGTGCAGTTTGGGAGACATTGACCAAATCATAACCTTTTGCAACTGCGTTAGCATCCACTGCACTGTCATTTAAAATATTTGGTGTTTGTGCAACACCCCAAGTCATTTCATCCAGAATAGTGGCCCTAGAGGATTCATCAAAAGTTGACGAGGCTTTATTCAGGCTAGATTCTGTAGCAATAGGACTCCCACATACATTGGAGATAAGCCCCAAGCCTATAAAATTAACAAAAGTCAGTAAATGCA